TTCGGGCTTTCTGAGGTAGTAAACCTTCAGGTAAAAGAAATACCTGCTGAGTCTAAACTCTCTGCTCTGTTGCCTGATGCCATCCATCTTGTGCAGACTGTCAGCTTAGCCAACAATTCTAGCGCACAAGATTTATCGAGATTCCCCGCTGTTAACACAGTTCATTTGCGCTTATAGTCTAAGTTATACCGGCTTTTCATAGGACGAGTATAGTTCAACTTGAAAACGTAATGCTATCCAGGGCAGACAAGGCCCTTGGTCTTGGCTGGCAGCTGCTCTAGGATAGAAGCTTTGACAGGCGTACAGGCAACTGCTGTTATGACCAGGCAGCATCTGAAGCATGATTTATTCAGCATGATTTTACTGGTGTTACCTTCCCTTTGGAGTTAACAATGTAGGCCAGTGGGCAAATCATACGCAACACATTGTCTCTACAATACTCCACAAGCTTAGTTATATGGAGAGGAGTATCTTCATTCTTGCCTTATTTCCACGGGCTTGGATTCACAAGCCTACCTATAGCACAGTTATGTTTTACATTTTTCAGGTGGTGCGCTCACCCACCACTGGTATTGTTACTTATTAGAGAAACAAATGGCGATATATTGGGCATATAGAAACCATTGGGGTGGGGAGGGGGGGGGGGAGGACTCACGGACTGATAAAACGACGATGTCCAGGGGAAATTTTACGACGAATGTTGTTCCTGTAAAAAAAAAAAAAAAAGGTTAAGTCGGGAGATGTGAACCAGCGTCATTGTACACGGTTATAAATCATAAGTGCTCTGCCACCAGTACGGACAGCTGATAAGAAACTATCCACATGTGTCGCCGTCCGCTGTAGATGTTCAACAGTCAACAGTTCTTCCTGTGCAGAATAAAGGCATGCCGTTAGGAAAAATGATTCCTTCGCAGAATTTGATTATTTCATAGTGAAAGTGTTTTCTCTGGAGAATTTAGCCATGTTATTGTCAAAGTATTTTCTTTACAGGTTTTAGATATTTCATTGCCAGTAGTATTTCCTCCAAACATTTGATATCTTTCATTGTCAGTAGTGTTTCCTGCATTCATTTTAAGTTTTTTATTATCAAAAATATACCCCAAAAATATATTCGGTTTATTATTGTCAGTTTGTATTTCCTGCACATATTTTAGTTATTTTATTGTTAAAAATATGTCAGCGATGGTTTAGGTTACCTTTAATGTTTCTCCCTTCACATTACACGAATGATGAGATTTAGGAAGGGACAAGGGACAGATGAGAAAAGCATTACTGAACGTAAAGAGCTGAAAGTCTGGGAAGAAACTTGTCAGATAACTGTAACGGTACCAGTGTTCGTAAAATCTCATGCACTCATTGTGGGCGATTTTTTTTTTAAATGCGTGCGAGTTTTGCTTGACACACTCACCACCGCCTTGGGCTGTGATCCCGTGCTTCCCTGTATCACAGAGAAACAACACCATCTGGAAATACGCAAAGATGTCCTTACCCACACAGGCCTGCAGGTTACAGCTAGCTGGTGTATCTGTTATGATGACTGTATTCTTTGGAGGTTAAACATGGTATTTAGGATCTAACTCGTTGGTCTGTCGTCCAGACGGAGATTAAAAATATCTGGATGATATTGTAAACGTTTCGGTAGCAGTCTGGAGGAGACAAACCTATCGATCGCCAGCAGCAACTGCGTCTTCCGCAGCATATTTTAGACAGTTCATTGCTAAAAGACTCCACCACAGTTCCCAAAGGGAGTCAGCCTAACTGCAAAGTCGTGACTTTCAACACGTACAGAGTTAGTTAATGTCCTTGATTCTGTGTGTTCATACTTGCCGAATTTGGTTACTGGCCTGTTGTGTTAATGTTGTCCAACGATTACATTAATATGCTGTCCACTTCAGGGCGTGCGCAATTACCAGTTGCTACAGCTGTGTGTATTTGGACACTTCAGTCTCTGTGAGCATGACCGTATTGCGGCATCCTGCCTGTTAGTTCCGTTGTTTTGCTAAAAGAAAAAAAAAAAATCATCACGTCTAACCAGCATCTTCAAAGAGGGGGGGGGGGATCTTAAGGTTAGACTCGTATTTGTGACCAGGTTATGTGTGCCATATAAGAGCCACGAAAGGGACTCTTGCAGCGTTGATGCGATCCGAGGAGACAGACCCCAATAACTGTCCTGACCGGCGACAAAGTCGTCTACCGGCGGGCCAATGGGCGACCTGGTCGCCGATGACCTGTGGCGGTGACAGGGCGGAATAGATGACTGCTTGGGAACACCACGTGTTGTAGAAATTTGTTATGGCCAGCAAAATATAGCTATAGTGTCGTGCCGATGTTTTAAAAAACTGATGTCTCAGCAATGGTGGAATATAAGTGAGTGAAATTATATTTTATTATTCTTTACTCCATTCTCCACGTTATATCACATTTTGTGGTCATCATAACAAGTAATTATTATGTGTTTTTGTGAGTCAAGGGGAAGGTGTACTGTTAAAAAAAAAAAAAAAAACCACTACAGGTCTAATAAGACCTATGCCACGAATCGGAAGGTCGTGTGTTCCCACCCTGGCGGAGCCGGAGGTTTTTCAAAAATGACCTTGACTCCCAGGTCAACCCAGCCTTGAGTGGGTACCGGGTGCAGTCCTGGGAAGTAAAGGCGGCCGGCGTGATGCTGACCACATGAATCATCTTGTGCCGATTGGTCTATAAAATATATATAGGTCTAGCCCTAAATACCCCCGCCTAAAAACGTGAAAAGGGTTCTTTATTTTTCTTTTTACAGGCCTAATCACTTTTTTCCTTTAAGGAACCACTGCTAAGTAAATGAGAAGTTTTAGAAACACAAGTCTGAGACCGAAAAAGTTGAAAGCATTCAGTCCGTGTCTTGTGTGTTCTCTGATATTTACATGGGAGCTCCACAAAGTGACAAGGTGTGACCTTTACAGTGGCCCGGACTTGCGTGTGTCGGTGTTACTGTTGACAGCGGTTTTTGGTGACGTATTTGGCAGGTATAATGGCTGCCCTTCGACGTTGACTAACGATACAGAGCTACCACCTGCTAATATATTCTGAATTTGTTTATAAATAACAGGGTTAGCACCATAGGCTCGGTCTGCTCCGAGTACTACTAATGATGATAGTGTAATTATTGGTGATATAATTGCTGCTGCTGCAACAACAACAACATCAACACATATAGTACTATTATTAGAGGCTGGAATAAGTGGTCACCCTTCAAATCTCATAATTGTCACCCAGTCCAAAGTCAAGTCTCAAGTCACCAAGAATGCTTCCAAGTCGAGTCTCGAGCCAAGTCACTTCATGTATCGAGTCGAGTCTCGAGTCAGGTCACTTCATGTATCGAGTCGAGTCTCGAGCCAAGTTACTTCATGTATCGAGTCGAGTCTCGAGCCAAGTCACTTCATGTATAAAGTCGAGTCTCGAGTCAAGTCACTTCATGTATCAAGTCGAGTCTCGAGTCAAGTCACTTCATGTATCAAGTCGAGTCTCGAGTCAGGCCACTTATGTATCAAGTCGAGTCTCGAGCCAAGTCACTTCATGTATCAAGTCATTTTACAAGTCGGGCATAGGACTATGCTTGTAAATATGTCTAGTTAGTATGTTATACTAGGAGAAATCATTAAGTAAGTCACAAATGGTTATGGGATGGCAGGTAAATGTAGTTAGTGGTTTATAAAGTGTGATTAGGTGACAGCAACATCGAACTTTATGTCTCTGTTCGTTAGGTGACGCTAGGTGCTAAATTCGCAATACATAAACAAAATGGTGACTATACTTACAGAATGCACCCTCAAATAACAACGTGCTGTTGTGCTGTTTGGAGCGGGGGGGGGGGGGGGGGGGCAAAAGGGCTGTCTGCAAAAGACATTTATAAGGAAATGCTTCCTGTTTATGTTGACAAATGATTATCCCGTCAAGCGGTGCATAGCTTGGTAAATAATTTTTCCCGAGGACGCTCTACGGTTGCTGGTGAAGTCTGATCTAGTCGTCCTACTTAAGATTGCAACATACCCATACGTGCAGCGGGTGAAGGAGATGATAAGAGGTGACAAGCAAGTAACGTTTGACTCTGTAGCAGCTGCAATAGGGTGCTCACATGGTGTTTAGTCCACTGAAAACCCAGCTTGGCAGGAGGCATTTCACGATTGACGCAGAAGTAGAATGTGAAGTAAAAATGTGGTTTTGAAAATAGAACACGCAGTTTTATGCAGCTGGTTTGGGTGGACTAATAAAACGATGGGACAAGTGCATTAGTGTTGGTGGAAGTTACGTTAAATAATTAAGGGGCGGTGTATGTGTAAAAAATACTGTATTCAAGTTGTTATCGTCTTTAGGTTTTTATTTTAACAACATTTTGGGACTTACTTATTGATTTACCCTCATAATACCAAAATAACAGCTAACAATTTTAGATTTTGATTTTGTATGCAAATAGCTGAGTTGAACGCATACATTTGCATTTTGAAGGTTATGTTATTTTAGTTAGTACGTCTTTAAGGTGGCGCATAGGTCAGACGTCATAGCTCTTACAGAAAACTGAAATGTTGTCACATTAATTTGTTAACATATTATTATGTTACAATGACCAATCGTGACGAACGGTTCGTGCCAGACCGTCGCAGCTACAAATGGCAAGTCGAGTCGCCAGTCGCTGGACAACAACCCGCATCGAGTCGCAAGTTGTCAGTTACGCGACTTGAGTCGATCTCGAGTCCAAGTCGCGTGACCCAAGTTCCGACTGACTGCTGCTCCTCCTACTACTTCAGTGCCTCTGCTGCTACTGTTGCAGCCACAGCTTCTACTGGCACTGATGCCACTGGTACAATACTACGTTTGCTGCTGCTGCTGCTGCTGCTGCTACTACTACTACTACTACTATACTACTACTACTACTACTACTACTACTACTACTACTACTACTACTACTACTACTACTACTACTACTAAAATCTACTACTGCTACCTCAACTACTACGATCACCAAGGCTGGTTCTGGAAGTGGCTTCTCACTTAGGTGATAATGTGCGCACGATTGCCATGGATGGTACTGAAGGTCTTGTGCGTAGTGAAGTTTGTGTAGATGTTGGCTCCCCAATCAGGATTCTAGTAGGACTCAAAACCTTATGCAGAATTATCAATTGATGAAAGAGGCCCCATCAATACCGAACACTACGCTGCTATCCACCAAGAAGCCCCAGCATTTTCAGAAATGAGTGTCCAGCAAGAAATCTTGGAAACAGGCATTAAAGTTGTGGATCTTTTGGCACCATATGCCAGAGGTGGCAAAATTGGTCTCTTTGGTGGTGCTCACGTAGGGAAGACTGTGCTCATCATGGAGCTGATTAACAACTTTGCCAAAGCTCATGGTGGCTACTCTGTGTTTGCTGGAGTCGGTGATATGACCTCAGCCTCACCCGATGACAGTTCTAAAAAAAAAAAAAAAAAAAAAAAAAAAAAAAAAAAAAAAAAACAAAAAAAAAAATCTAAGGTGTCCCTTGTCTACGGACAAATGAATGAGCCTCAGGTGCCCGCGCCCATGTGGCTCTCAGTGGGTTGACTGTGGCTGAGTTCTTCCGTGATCAAGAAGGACAAGATGTACTACTCTTCATTGACAACATTTTCAGATTCACTCAAACTGGTTCTGAGGTATCTGCCTTGTTGGGTCTTATCCGATCAGCCGTGGGCTACCAGCCTACCTTGGCCACTGACATGGGTAGTATGCAGGAGAGAATCACCACAACCAAAAAAGGATCTATTACATCTGTGCAGGCCATTTTCGTGCCTGCTGATGATCTGACTGATCCTGCTCCCGCCACAACATTTGCCCGTCTGGACGCAACAACCGTATTGTCTCGAGGAATTGCAGAGTTGGGTATCTACCCTGCTGTAGATCCCCTTGACTCCAACTCTCGTATTCTGGACCCTAACGTCGTAGGAGAGGAGCACTATGCAACAGCCAGATCCGTACAGAAAATCCTGCAGGACTACAAGTCACTACAGGATATTATTGCCATCTTGGGTATGGATGAGTTGTCCGAGGAAGACAAGCTGACTGTGGCCAGAGCCCGCAAGATGATGAAATTCTTGTCCCAGCCTTTCCAGGTGGCTGAAGTCTTCACTGGCTCCGAGAGCCAATATGTCCCACTTAAGGAGACCATCAAGGGCTTCAAGACGCTTATCAATGGTGAACTGGACCACTTGCCTGTAGTAGCCTTCTACATGGTGGGCAACATTGAAGAGGTTGTGGAGAAGGCAACAAGGCTGGCAGAGGAACAGTCATAATCAGATTAGGTCACCATTATTTTTATTACGTTGAACCTAGTGTGCGAATGTTTTAGTGTGTCTTCATTAATTTGCAGAGAATCTTGCTAGTGATGTTAAAAACATAATTTCGTCTACTAAGACAGCAAAGTAACTGGCTTGTTTCAGCACAACACTAACTTATGCTGTTGAGACATGGTGTATGGAGAACTGGCCACTGTTGGGATATTCTGTATTGGAACTACCGTGATGCAGTTATTGATATAAAGTGTGTGTTTTGAAGCTCGCTGTGTTTATTGTAGTTTTATGTTTGTCTTTTGCAGATGCTGTTCATTAGTAAACTAATTATTTGTTGCTTTAGTTCCTGATTGTTAAGACTCTTGAAGTTGTAGTTAACAACATTGAAATCTTGAATAAATATATAACTTCCAAAAAAAAAAAATACTACTGTTACTACTACTACTACTACTGCAACAACAACTACTACTACTCCTACAACAACAACAACAACTACTACTACTACTATTATTACCACTACTACTACAACTACAACAACTACTACTACTACTACTACTACTACTACAACTACTACTACTACAACTACTACTACTACTACTACTACTACTACTACTACTACTACTACTACTACTACAACTACAACTACAACTACTACTACTACTACTACTACAACTACAACTACAACTACTACTACTACTACTACTACTACTACTACAACTACTACTACTACTACTACAACTACTACTACTAGTACTACTACTACAACTACAACAACTACTGCTACTACTACTACTACTACTACTAGTACTACTACTACAACTACAACAACTACTACTACTACTACTACTACTACTACTACTACTACTACTACTACTACTACTACTACTACTACTACTACTACTACTACTAGTACTACTACTACTATTACTACTACTACTGCTACTACTACTACTACTATTACTACCGCATGTCATTTAACATCATGTTTTAAATGGTACGACTTATCCCTCTATCTACTCAGATTATCCCATCAAACATACACAAGGCCGCTGACTGTGGCAGGAATATTCAACAGCTAGTCACGTGACACCACCGCAAACTTGAGCCTGGAAACCCCAGGATTTACCTGTCATCATGTGTTGCCATGGATACCTGTGATTGTGTACTCCCAATCGGGAAATGATTCGTGGTCGCAAAGAGGGCAGCACTTATGCCTCGTGGTTCATCGGCTTCGACCATGGTAAGTGTTCGTTATTTGAATCATCGTCATTATTACCCAGATTACCCCCATGTGTCCTTGGGGTCCGGGTGGGGGTAAGAATCGCCCCTCTGTATATGAACAAGCATGTGGTTTGTTTGTTTTAGTATCCAGAAGCCATGAGTTAACCCTTAGGCTCGGTATTATGGATATCGCAACCTTTCGGCCTTGATTCCATTGTAAATACCGTAACTCTGGGAGAAAATGTGGCTTTCCTGCCTACCCCGGGGATTGAACCCGGACCACAAGGAGTTCGTCACCCGGTCTCCGCGCAATCTGGTTTAGCCAACTATGTTAGAGAGCCGGGCAAGCATGTGGTTAAGGCGATTAACTAGCGATTTGCTGAAATCGGATGTTTTGGACCGAAAGGTGCAGATATTGCAGTCTAGCTGTAGACCGCAACATAATGTACCAGCTATCCTTGTGAGGGCGAAAGAAGAAGATGCATCATCATCATCACGATCATCTTGTTGTGCCGTCACTACGTAACACAGTGTTCACAGGCTGTCCCTCGTTTCTGTCCTATTCCATTTAACCTGTTCAGTATCATGGATATAATCTAGTCCAGCGTATAGGCACACATGGCTCAGTCACACGTGGCTCATGCACATGGCCCAGGCACACGTGGCTCAGGCACATGGCTCAGGCATGCATGGCTCAGGCTTACGTGGCTCAGGCTTACGTGGCTCAGGCACACGTGGCTCAGGCACACGACTCAGGCACGTGGCTCAGGCACACGTGGCTCAGGCACACATGGCTTAGGCACACGACTTAAGCACATGGCTTAGGCGCACGTGGCTCAGGCACATGGCTCAGGAACACGTGGCTCAGGCACACGTGGCTTAGACACACCTAACTCCCTCACAATCTCAAATAATGTTCTCAAATAATGTATCTCCCCCCCCCCCACCCCCCCCCCCAAGTATTAAATTTTCAAAGTGCCAAGCGGTCCCCTTATATGAATTTATGTTTTTCAGTATTTGTTTATAATTTAAATTTATTTGAATTTTTTAAAATTTGCAATTCAACACATTAAAAATGTGTAATATTACGCACTTAAACAATGCTTGAGTCCCTTTAGCTCCGCCCCTAAAAAGTTGCAAGGGACTTAGGCCTCCCTCATTCTTATTTTTTTTAAATGGGCGCCATTTGCCAGCATTTCTGGGCCTCTTTCATCAGTGTTCGTGTTAAGATTTCTCTTGGTGTGTAAGTTGTGTACAACCCCAGAAGCTCCTGAAGTTGTTTCGGAACTGGACTGCTTAAAGGAAAATAAATGAGAAGTGCCCACATTACCACATTACCTTTTATGTAAACAAAATAATTCTGCAAGGAAACGTTGAAAGCAAGCGAGCAAGAAGTAGACATTGATATAAGTGAGAGGTGGACGAACAGCCGTCTTCGAAGTAGACATCCAGAACAAAAAACACCGCATGCTAGAGATACGTTGCAGCTAGCCTTATTAATGGAGATGTCATAAAACGATAGCAAATCAAACGAAAAATGTAACAGGTAAGTTTTACAATATCACAAACACAAATAGCAAATGAACGTTGTGGCTAGAGAGCTTTCATCAGCACATTACAGGAATATACAATACTGCAACCACGAACAAGATTAAACAAAACTACTCAACTGACGTGTCTCCGAGAGGAATCACATATCTGTCTAGCCAGTTGAATCAATGACACGTGTGTGGCAGATGCTTCGTAGTGGAGAGGTCATCTGATTGATTAATGGATTGAGTGTGAAATTGCCTTGTAAACCCCCATAACAGCAAGTACATATTGGGGTTTGTTTGCAACATAGAAACAGACATGATGTGGTACTACTAATTTCCACCCAGACAGGACTGCAGATTGTTCCATGCTGGCGTTGCAATTACAAGTGTCTCAGTTACAGATTCTTTTGTTGTTGATCTAGTTAAAGGACATTTGCCCCATTGGATTGCATTCTGCTTTGAGATTTTGTAATCTCAGGGTATCAAAATAAGGAAGAGACGCAGGGACTGACCAGCGTGAAGATGAGCACAGGATATGACACCTTGGTTAGGAAAGTGCACGATGGGGTGGAGAGTTGGGGGGGGGGGGGGGCTGATGAGAGACCGAGTGTCTTTCAGGTAAACAGGGATTAGAGCGAAGTTCTGCAAAAGACCTGTTAGATGATGAGGAGGGAGAGATGATGACAGACAGAGTGTCTTTCTGGTAGAGAGGGATGAGAGCGAAGTTCTGCAAAGGACCCGTTAGATGATGAGTAGGGAGAGCTGGTGAGAGACATAGTGTCTTTCATGTAGATAGGGATAAGAGCGAAGTTCTGCAAAGGACCTGTTACATGATGAGGAGGGAGAGTTGGTGAGAGACTGGGTGTCTTCAGATAGACCGGGATGAGAACGAAGTTCTGCAAAGGAACTGTTACATGATGATGACGATGATGTCAAACCTTCAGTACGAGATTTAGGAACAGTCCTGACATCTGATGCAAGATGCCTTGCAGAAATTAGAACAAGAATAGCCATGGCGAAGGTGGCCTTTAGCAAGATACACAAGATTCTAACTAATAGGAAGATGTCACTTGCAGCAAGACAAAGAATGTTAAACACACGAAGTCCACCAGAACCAAAGTGTCCGACTGGGACGTGACTTAACCACACGAGGAAGTCCACCAGTACTATGGCTCTTACTGGTTAGGACCTATCTTAGTTAGTTAGTTAGTTAGTTAGTTAGTTAGTTAGTTAGTTAGTTAGTTAGTTAGTTAGTTAGTTAGTTAGTTAGTTGGGTTATCATCATTGCACTCCGGACATGTCCATAGGTGCTCAGATTCTCCCCTCAGTATGAACCCCAACGTCCGATGGCTAATAGTACCAGTTCTGTGTTGATTAACAAGTCTTCTGACGTGTCCGGTGTGCGTCTCGTTTTTTGCTGTGCCGATCTTAATTCCCAAGTCTGCCATTCTGGCGAGTGATGTGGATTCACTGCCACCAAAGTCTTCTATCCTTCCAATTTCTCTGAGGGCATTGATAATATCAGCATGATCCATAGGCCGACCGTCGGTAGTGATGGCGGATCCAGCCAACCTGTCAGCTCTTTCATTTCCATCGACGCCTGCGTGTCCCGGAACAAAAATAAAGGTGACTCCTCGCACAGTGGACTTCTGAATTGATTCAAGCCATTGTCTTCGCACTGAACCTGCCTGAACCCTCCGGATCATACTCATTGAATCACTGAGTATACATATGCGGGTGTATTTTTGTGTTTCAAGCCAGGCAAACGCTTGCGTCACTGCCATCACCTCCATCGTCATGCTGCTGGTTGTCATGGAGAAGGCGCCGTTGGCTTTTTTGACTGTTCTGCCCGCTGAGCGTGCTGTAAATGCCCATGCGCTTCTTCTTTGTCGTATAACGGATCCGTCTGTATAGATTAGTGCATCTGCTTCGTCTGAATTTTCACCGATGAGAGCGTTGACCTCTGCATTAACAGCAACAGGATTCTCTTCTCTACATCGCATGTTAAGTGTGGCAATACAGGAAAATGTACAAATAAACGCCTGAGGCACAGGTATCCATTCTGCACCAGGTATGATGTCGGTTAGGCTGCATATTTGCCTAATAACATCTTCTGCCCGACCTAGCCACGATTTTCCCCTCTTCAGTCTGTCGCCCTTTTCACTAAAAAGCGCTTGATGCAGTGGGTGTTTCTTATCAGCACATATTTTGAGGTATGCCCGAGCCCTCCACATCCTGATCCTTTGGTTCATTGTTGGAAAGTCAAGTAGATACCTCATTGCTCCACAGGATGTGTCTCTTGTACATCCCAAAATAATACGCATGGCTTCATTTTGCACCTTTTCGAGTCGTTCAATCTGGGTAGCACTGACAGTGCTATCTACACCTGTTCGCCGTCATGCCTGATGCATGTTCCCATTACGGTGCTGGCCATCATAGATAGGATCAACGCTTTCTTCAAATTGAATCTGCCCGAGAGGCAAAGCACCGAGAGACTATGTGTACAGAGATGCTAGAACTGTAAATTCCCCTCTTCTTTTTTTAAAAAAAAAACCTGGAATGCCTCATGGCGACAGGGCAGGAAGAGATCTCTGGAACGGGCCCTTCTGTTCGCTCCATATAAAGTAATTTTAAGTATCTGATATTTCTGAGGTCCATTTTCTGCGTGGTAAATCTATGGTTCTGTTACCGTTATATCTGTATTAACATTGCTCTCTGTAGTGCGCTATCTGATGCCAGTCTTGTTACATGGCCAAACCATTTGATTTTTTTGTTTACATATAAAGTTCATTTTTGGTTCTGTGTCGACTCTTGTCCTGATTTCATCGTTCCTAAGTCGATCTTTCCTCGTTACACCTAGCATAGTACGTAAACATTTCTTTTCTGTCATGACTATTTTCCTGTCTTCTGAAGACAGTGTCCATATTTGACATTGATAGCATAGCGTTGGTAAGAGTTCGTAAAATGGATGAGCACGCAAACCTAAGTCCTGAAAACAAGGCTCAGTGGACGAACATCCAGGAGTTCACAGCTGGTGAACGCAGAAAAAGATGGAAAAGAGGTGTTTAACTGTTCAGTGATCATCATCAATCGATCCACTGGGGTGATAAGACTGACAGTCCAGGTCATGCATTATTGATGTCCCTAGTCTCAGGTGTCGCTTAATATTTACTATCCTGTTGTGAGAATTCACCAGAATCTTCCATCTTCAACACCATCGCTATCCTTATCATCATCAGCATCATCGTCGTCATCCTCGTAGTCGTCGTGGTCATCGTCATCACCACCACAATCACAACAACCATCACAGTCATCATAGTCATTATCACCACAACCATCATCATCATCACAATCATCGTCATCGCCACCATCATCATCATCATCACCATCGTCATCATCGTATTCATTCCCATCATCATCCCCGTCATTATCATCATCATCGTCATCAGCAGCAGCGTCATCAGCATCACCCGGCTGTGCCATTGTATGTAACCTAGGGCAAATCTATTACTCCAATCCATTTCGTCATGTGCAAATCTTTTGCTAAAATGGACAAAGTCTAACACCTTTGGCCACTCTTGTCCGCGTTTATTTAGGCTTTCTCTTGGACGGCGTCGTTTCCTCAATCCAGTTGTTTCCTATTTCATTGCCAGCTTGTTGATTCTCTGTGCGATTCTTGTCGGGATGTGCCAGAGTAGCGATCACATGGTTAATTTAACACCCCTTCGTAATAGTAATTTCAACGTCTGTGGCTTAGGCGTGGCGAACGAGCTTCGTAATGCCGGCTGCCGGGGTTCAGTCCAGCCTTGCACTTTGCGTTGGTTTCGACTGTTATATCGAGAAGCGACCGTCCTGAAAGCAGTGGCAAACTACTGGACGTAAAGTGCCTAGGAAAAAACCACAACAGCCAAAACAAATCTATAGTCCTGCTAAGAATACGCAACTACCTTTTTAAAATAAAGTTATAGTATTCAAGCTAATTTACATACGTGAAAAGTGTTATTACATTGATGAAAATAGACCCTCTTGGTGTGTGTAGCAATTATTCTCTTAAAGGGGCGCTGATCAAAGTAGACATAGGAATTGGGGGGGGGGGGGGGGGGGGGGGTTGGGAGCCCTTAGTCCCCAGACACAATTTTTCAGCCAGGGGAACCTTATAGGGGCCTAAGCCATGTTTAAGTTCTTAACAATAATACTAATTTTAATTAATGTAATAAGTAATTTATAATTAAGAACATTTAAAAAAAAAATGTTTGTTTGAGGTTGGGGCCTCAGATGCTTAGGTTTCCATATTCTTTCATCATGTCCTCTTATGATCCAGTTAATAAGAATTTCCACAATAATAGTCAGTTTGAAATGAATATTACAATTTGTTGTCGACTTTTTCCTATTAATCAGTATTATAAGAAACAACGTTTGTTGCTTTTTATGATTAAATTCCTTTATGGCTTATTTACATTACATCAGTTTAACATATGGGCTTATTATGCCAGTTTGAAATATAAATCACATTTCTTACAATTTTCATTTTAAATTTATATCACACTTCACGTTTGTTACTGTTATGCAGATCCACACAAAGAATCACATTTGTTATATTTGTGGGTGAAATATTGGTATGTTTATGGGTGAATTATTGGTGTGTTTGTGGGTGAATCAATGTTATTTTTGCACACTTCAGATAACACTTTTGGCCTGCCGGCGTTTCCTGGTAAGTTTTAAGCCAATTTGAGCCAAACTGCACGCTTCACTATTTGTTTGCATGGAATGCTTCATTTGGCACGCTGCGCTTCATCATTCATTGTACACGCATTAGTATTTCAGTATATAGTGTCTGTGTATGTGTCCTTCTCATCCTCCTTGTCCTCTTCCTCTTTCTTCTTCTTCTTCTTCTTCTTCTTCTTCTTCTTCTTCTTCTTCTTCTTCTTCTTCTTCTTCTTCTTCTTCTTCTTCTTCTTCTTCTTCTTCTTCTTCTTCTTCTTCTTCTTCTTCTTCTTCTTCTTCTTCTTCTTCTTCTTCTTCGTCTTCTTCTCCTCCTCCTCTTCTCCTCTTCTTTTCGTACTCCTTCTCCTGCTGCTACTCTTTCTTTTTTAACTACACACCAAAACAGCCAGCCAAATCCTCCAACCACCCACACCTACTCAATACACATTAGCCGAGTTACATATTATTTTCTTGTTTCTGCAAATATCTTCTCTAACAATCTTCTATTTATCATATAGCACCCCTCTTACAGATAATTGCACGAGCACCATGTATCCATTACATGTAACACCTACCCGCAATTATAGCTTATGCTACCCTCTGGTCTCCTCATATTTATGTATTCATGTGCACGCTAATAAATTTTCTGCGAACGCATTTTTTTAATTGCATGTAATTTCCGTTGGCATCTCATTTCTTTGTTGTCTATTATCTTTTTTGTTTGCATGGTGTGGGTATTCTATCTACAGTTTATGCATGCAATTTGATGTCGTAAACAGGTGTTGATTACACGTTTCTTGTTAAAACATGGGGTGTTTGTTTTCAGGAAATATTTTTTATCCCCTAAGATTGCTGGTAATTGGCGGCAACCCAGTTCCGGAACTAAGCTGTGCAGAAGACACTGTCTTTTTTTTTCAACAGTATAAAAATGATAAAACAATTAATCATACCTGTCGGAAAAAAAAGTCAGGATTAAATCCTGTTCTTGTATGTAATAACACAACAGATATAAATTCACAGACTAAACAGCATGTCACCAACCAATAAAAATAAATGATAAAGAAATCGACAAAGCCATAAGCCCGGCTCTCTAGCGTAATTGGCTAAACCGGATTGCGTGGAGACCGGGTGACGAACTCCTTAAAGTCCGGGTTCAATCCCGGGGGTGGGCAGGAAAGCCACATTTTCTCCCAGATTTATGGTATTTACAATGGAATCAAGGCCGAAAGGTTACGATATCCATAATACCGAGCCAAAGGGTTAACAACTCATGGCTTCTGGATACTAAAACAAACAAACGACAAAGCCATAAACTTTGAATATCTAGGCTGCATAATAAACAGCAATGGAGACTGTTTAATAGACATGAAAAGGAGAGGGACCTTGCTTGCGTGCTTCATGTAGAACAAAAATGACAATTTGATCTCTTTCAGACTTTTCAGTTCTTCATGGCTGATGTCTATAATTGCGATATTTATTGTGTAGGGCTGGTTTAGATAGGGTTTCTTTTGGTTCCATTATGTCTTGTTGTAATATACGTTTTAACTGATATGAGAGGGACCTTAGCAATGCAAAAATTAAACAGCATTAGAAGTCTGTAGTTAACCAGCAAGGGAGCTAAGGTACACATTTTGAGGGCACGCATCTTCCACGTAGCAGCATAGAAAAATAAGAGCTTGTTGAACTAAAATACCATAAAAAGACTCTCACAGAATACCATTGACCAAGAAGAAAAGAAATAATGAGATCTTGAAATCTTAACATCAACAAAGATTGGCTAGTTTGTTTGTTTGTTTTAGTATCCAGAAGCCATGAGTTGTTAACCCTTAGGCTCGGTATTATGGATATCGCAACCTTTCGGCCTTGATTCCATTGTAAATACCGTAAATCTGGGAGAAATGTGGCTTTTCTGCCTACCCCCGGGAGTGAACCGGGACCACAAGGAGTTCGTCACCCGGTCACCGCGCAATCCGGTTTAGCCAACTACGCTAGAGAGCTGGGTAAGATTGGCTAATAAACAGCATCCTGTCTCAAAAACTGATATATATTGTCCATATCAAGCGCAGCGTTGGTTTGGAAAGGATAGTAGCAGAAGTCGTGGCGCCAGGAAAGAGTCGCAAGGGTCGAACCTGACTTACTTTAGATAGGCCGAGCAACAGATTTCGTCAGCTGGTGTGCCAAGGCTACAAGTTTGTTTGTAGTTTTTGGCTGACAGTAATGTCGAACTGCTGGTTTTCACGTGTTTTATCATGTTTTTCATATTTAAATTCCCGAAAAAAGACTTCTTGAGTGTTAAGTGTTATTAACTATGTCTTCGAAATGTTCCGTACCTGAGTTTCGCGGCACAGGATGTAAGTGACACCTTGGGTAAGAGAAAGCACTAAGCAGGAGATCTGGCGAGAGACCCGAGTTTCTTTCATGCAGGCTGTGATGAGAGCGACGTTCTGCAAAGGATCTGCTACATGGTGATAAGTGTGATGATGATAGCTGGTTGCACTAGTATATAGTCCTTGTTGCAATCGTTACCGGTGTCTTCATTATAAATTTCTGTTGATTTAAACCGACATCGCTCGGGACATTAGCATATGCGCCCCATCCCCATCTTCAGCAGCCAGCGCAGAAATGTATTTCTACTGGCACCATCAGCAGTTTGATTATATGCCCGTCTTGCCTTTCCTCTGATTGTAGAATGTAGACCAGATCCTCCCTGTGCTGACTCCCCGCTGTGCCCACTCTCTCCACACTTACAGTCAAACTCCAGAGGATCGACTTCATTGCACCGGGTTTTGTCCCATATGGCTCGGTCTCTCTCCGCAGAACGGCTATCCGCCTGCAGAGAGCATTGCACAGAGCACGAACTAGGTAGCTCCGGCGACGATCCATAGGAATCTCTATACAAATTGCACTCGTGAACTGAACGACGCAGCTGTGAAACGAACCCACGACCTCCAGATCGCGAGGCAGACGGCTTGCCCAATTCGCCGTTGTTGACCTTTTGGCTACATCTAGCTTGTCATGCATCAGATCACCACTTTATGGTGTGGAACCAGCCAATTAATCTGTCTGTTGGTTATCCAAATCACCGTTATACCCAGGATAACAGATCCAAAAGGACCCTAACTACCGGGGACCTATGAAGGACAGTTGTCCCTGGGCACGGAGCATACCGTTCTCCACCTTTAATTATAACTTCTTGGGAAGTTGAACAGGTAATCTGGGTTTGTCTTGCTGGATTGACATCCATTATGTGGTCATGGTCCCTCTTTTGGTCATCTGCTTAGTTTCCTGGTACAGAAAGACCTGACCACACTTGAAAAGTTGTACAGTACTTGTGTATTTTAGATTATTCAGTTTAATACTCTTCCTCTGCAAAAATGCATGTTTACTAACCCAATTCGACATGTTCATCTCTTGATAATTAAAATCTCGCTTCATTTACAGAAAAAAAAAGTTCTCCCTTTCCCCACCCAGTCCACCGCACCGCGTTATCGCAGTCGATAAGAGGCTCGCTTTCAAATCCAACTGCGACTCGCTGCAGCCACGGTCGGTGTTCGAAACCGGGCGATTCCCGGGGTTCACCCAGCCTCTAGGAAATGGGTACCAGAGTTGACACTCTGGGGTGAATGGAGGAACGTCGCTGTAGCTACGGAGTTACGTGCGGACGCGACACAGGCGGACAGTTTCTTATCATCTGTCCGTACTGGTGGAAGAGCACTCATGGTTTATAACCGTGTGCAACGACGCTGGTTCACATCTCCCAACTTTACCTTTACTTTACCTTTACCCATACAGATCCTGCACAGAGTTATTTTATCATGCCACGCTTGTTAAAAACGGCATCTTCTAGACTATAGCGTATCATATTTCACGTTTAAATTCCTGACATGACATTCCACCCTAAGGATCATACGAAAGGCCATTTATTTACCTGCTTAGTTGTAAGAACAGCCTTGTTCACAGAAATAGCCCGGAATTGCGCCAGTTGAATCAACTTCATTCATTTATTACCCAAACTGAATTCCATAGCAACTTGCGTCATTGTGTGACACTAGCACAAGCGACAGGAGTGTTGGTGGTCGTGGTAGGCGAGGGCTCTCAAACTTTTGGTTTCACGTGGGGCTTTGGCTGGTGACACGGATTCATCCACTTCTTCTTCTTCTTCTTCTTCTTCTTCTTCTTCTTCTTCTTCTTCTTCTTCTTCTTCTTCTTCTTCTTCTTTTACAAAACACATTGTAGGGATACGTAAAGGATATTAAGAGTAAAGTATTTTTGAAATATCTATATGTATGACCTAGACTTTCCTTCCCTGCACCTGCTGGCGTATTAGGCATATGCTAGACCAATATTTTATTGACCAATGGGCACTTGGTTGGTGATGTGGTCAACATCATACTGACCGCCTTTACTTTCTACAACTCAAGCTGGTTCCCATTTAATTCTGGAAAGACCTGGGAGCCAAGGCTGTTTTTGAAAAATAATCCGGCTTCGCTAGGATCTTAACTCTTTATGGACGTTTAGCCAGTATACTAGCGCTTAAGTATATCCCTTAAAGACGTAAAGCCAGTTTGCTGGCTCATGATAAAGACACTCTAATTTTGTTCCGTTTGTAGGGTAAACGAACTTTTATGAACAAGTTTTTTTAACAATTAGGATTAACAACAGGATGTACTTTCATTTGCGATGTTCATCGTGGTCGGTGCATTATTTTGTGATTTAAAAAAAAATTATTTAGATAGGATACAATTTTTACGTGATTTTTCTATACTAAATGATAAGGTAAAAGGTCTAGAACTGTCCATACTGCTCTATCGTTGAGGAATCCCTGCCAGATGGTGACAACAGCCTTGATATTATGATTGATATCTAAGGGACACATCTACTAGCGATAATTTAGTTTAGGATATGAAAATTTCACAAAATACTTCAATTAGATCAATGTTTCGATCAGCTGTTTTTCAGATTTTCGGTTGTTGGGAAAATTGACATGTCATACAAAAATGTTTATAA